TGACCGGAGTAACCTATCGTGTGTTGACACGACTTCCCAGGTATAACATCATCGCCCTCAGACGAAAACATTTCCTTCTGGGGGTTTGCTGCCTTATTGGCGTTCTCAAGAGTCACACGTTTGGAGCTACACTCTCGGAAGCGCGGGACCTTAACGGGCTCTTAGATAATGGCTCGCAATCCGAGGTGGTCAGTTACAGGAGTTTTTCTATTATAGAAAGGCTCTGACTTATTACGAGGGCGCGTACGACCCCCAGCTCGAGTAGTTGCTCGGGATTTAGTCACTGGACCCAAGCGTTCTTCGATCAGAACTTTGCCTCTATTCTCGTGCAAAGGACCTAGGCGATCCACCATCCTCATCTTGAATCGGGACAAATCCACACTATCATGGGGCTCCACCAGAGGTTCGGGATCAATTGAAGTAGGGGCGAAACTCGATGGAATCGGAAAAACGGGTGTAGAATGTCTCCTGTCTTGGCCCTGGTGCGGGTCAGACCTTGGTGACCCACGGTTGGGAGGGTCAGACTTGAGTGACTCGTAACTTGGAGGGTCAGACTTGAGTAACCCGCGGCTTGGAGGGTCAAACCTGAGTGACCCATGTTTGGGAGGGTCAGACTTGAGTGACCTGCGGCTTGGAGGGTCAGACTTGAGTGACTCGTAGCTGGGAGGGTCAGACCTGAGTGACCCGTAGCTTGGCGGATCAGACTTGAGTGACTCGCAACTGGGAGGGTTAGACTTGAGTGAGCCGAGGCTTGGAGGGTCAGACTTGAGTGACCCACGACTAGGAGGGTCAGACTTGAGTAACCCATGTTTTTTGATCTTTTCGGCCGCCGTCTTGGACTTTAACCTCCAAGTTTGATACAGTCTTGGTTGTTTCTTGGGTATGTCCTTCTGCATCTTTTGTGCCTTTTGCACAAGAATTCGTATGTGCGCAAGTAGTACGCGGTGCTTCTGGATTTGCTCCTCAAGAGTTGCACGGATCCTTTTGACTTGGATTCATTCACTTGTTGATGATTTGGAGGAGGGGGCGTTTGCTCGCTGTTGGGGAGCTTGGTGTTCCCTGAATTTCAAATCCGTCCTGTAACAGATCTCATCCACTAGGTCCAAAGCCTTAGCGAGTTGGCGCGCGAGGCGTTGACGTTGCCTTTGACATGCCCTCTTTGATAGGATTGGCGCGGATCCAGCAGCTATCTCCTTGATTGAGGAGGAGTTCAGATCTATAGATCCGGTCTTGTTAGAGGCCGGAGGGGCGTTGCAGGGCGTGATTGTAGCAACAGCGGGGGCGTTGATCCAGCGCTTACGAGTGGAGGAGGATCTGGAGGAGGAGGATAACAGATACTCCTCGAACTTCTATTGGTCGAACTCGTACTCGACCTCTTCTTCAACAGGGATCCGGATCTCTGGTTGCAGACACATCAGCCTTCGCAGAAAGGTTGTTGGCTCCCACTGTGGTCGCCAGCGTGTTTGGGTCAAAAATTGATGTTTTCATTATCATCGAATCTATTACTACTTTGGTCGTTACAATAAACTCAAATAAACGAGAAAAATAGATTTTTTATAAGATCGGCTTATACAATAAAAATGTAAAATAGTACAACTCTTGTCAAACAGCGCAACAGATGTTTATCACCCGCTGCTTGCGTAGGAACTTCGCTTGTGCCGGGGACGTTAATATCCATGGACCACCGCGGATCAGATCCGGTTGACAGATTAAGTTAATCAAAACTCTTACTTCACGAAGGAAGTAATCGTTGCAGCGATAATCCCGATCAAGCGAGATTATGGCTCTTCTCGAGATTAAGACTAAGCTTAAATCTGGAGGAATATGGGACGAGTCTCAGATCTCTCAAACTACACTCTTTATGCACATGAACTCACTAAGATCTGCTAACCCTCGCTGTAAATTTATGGTTCCACTCTCCAATTCAGCAGCGTTTCGCCCTCTTGATCTCTGCTTTGTGAAATGAGCCATTAGGCCTGTATTTATAGGCTTTGGTTGGAGGTATTTGGCTAAGAATGAGTGATTTAACATTATCTTCAGTTAATAATGGCCTAACCATGTTTGTGGATGATATCAAGTCAGTTAGGAACCCATGGAAGGGATAAATCCTGCGAAAACCACTTAAAACCGTCGAAAACGAGTTTAGGGATCAAATCTGCGCGACAGGCACTGGTGACCCGGGGGGCGCGGGTCAGTTGTGACCGACCCACGCTTGCTCGGGTCAGCTGCTGCCAACCCGTGCTGGCACGGGAAATTTGGCCATGGCTGAACTTTTTGGTGTTTTCCGATTTTTCGGGACTTGTATTTTCTGCCATTTTGCGTATTTGATCGTTAACTCGCTTCATGCATTCGTTAGCTTCTTTACAGCACTTGGAACTGACCGACAAGCACGTTGGATGCTTTGGATCTGACCGACAAGCACGTCAGGCACTTTGGATCTAACCGATAAGCGCATAGGGCACTTTGGATATGACCGATGCACGCGAGCTGACTAGCGAGTGTGTTTGGTCACTTGGAGCTAACTGACACGCGTGAACTGACTAACGAGCGCGTTCGATCACTTGGTGCTGACTGACGTGCGCGAGCTGACTAACGAGCGTGACGGTTAATTGGAGGTGGCCGGTGAGCGCGCGAGACACAGTTGGTTCGCCATTCTGGTTCATGCACTTGTCGGCGTCAGATAATCCTCTTAGACTCGGATAACAACGTTCGTCATCTTCTCTTCGTCTCGAGCTATGTTCGGACACTTATAGGCATTTTTAGACACCTATAGTTATCTTTTGATTATTACAAATTTGCTTAGTGATAAGTTAAATGGTTAATTAATTAATTTATAACCATCTCAAATAGCTAAATTGATCAAGTATCACTCCTTCCACATTGATAGAATTATAATGTAAGTGCACACACATGAATGGCAAGTTCTCACACACTACACATATTATATTATAACTTACTGTAGCATGCACGAATTTCTTTTTGTTCCAAAAACTATATTTGTATAGAAGCATTTTGAATTTTGTTTCGCTAATTTTGGATATCGTTTGGCCCATCATCTACGAACTTTAATCTGCTACATAGTCTGTAGTTATAGTTTGTACATGTCCTGCATATTCTGTGTATAACTGGAGCTATACATATTAGTTTTGAATTTCACTTATGATTCTGAAAAGTAGGCACATGTTAGAGTCACACCAGTTTCATGCATTTTGGACATCAATTACTCTACCATCCATCTGTCTCAAACAACTGCATATACACTACATCTGCTGTCTGTGCATATTATAAGTGTTGGATGCAGCCGTCTCGAGTGTAGCATATACCATAATATAAGTTATAAGTTAGAAAAATAATAAAAGATCGAGTTGCATAGAATCGCATATGGGTATACATGTATGTGTTTATAGGAGAAAGATTCTTGGATTCATTCGTCAGTCCAGAGCAACCCACCGCAAATGGTAGGCCGTCTTTCATTGTTTCCTTTCAATTCTTTAAGAGTTAGATTGATTAATTTTTTAAATTCCTGCGAGTTAATTTCTCATACTTAGTTGTATATCTTATCACTTTCACAATATTCCTATTTGATTTACTTCATGCGTGAGCTCTTTATTGATTGATTAATCATTGCTATCCTAATGTTGTTTATTTTGGTTTTATATCATGATATTCTCTGACTGATTATATTGTGGCAATTCAACTTGCTTCGATAATTCCATCATTGAGAATGATAGTATTCTTTCATTTGTTGATGGTTGGTACTCTATATTCATGGATTATGCCCTGTATGAAGTAAGCTTCACTAGTGGATGATAATAGAAATGAGTCCCGATGGGGACAATGCCATGTGTGAGGACATTTACCGGTGGATGTATAAAAGCATGCGTGGTTTATTGATTATCCCACAATTGGAAAAGTTTGGAATCCAGAATATTAGAGCTTGATTAGTCATATTGACATATGTTATTTTATTTTGATCAATAATCATCATATGAGTATTGATAGCTTATTGTTCAGTTTCAAATATCAATGATTATATCTTTCATTTATCCCCTTATATTGTACTCGATAATTTTATAGTTGTCTATTGGGCCTTAAGCTCAGCCCTATTATTTTGACATCCATTCGTCATACAGTTGGCAAGGGCAAGGGGACCACAGACACCGGCTTAGAAGATTACCTCCCGTAGCAATTATAGTAGGAGTTATTCTGTATTTATTTTTGTAGTACTTTTGACTTATCTGACATGTACTAATGTGTATTGTAGTTATTATTAAACTTGTACTATTTTATTGTTCCCTTTAGTTTTCTGATATTCTGGTATTTCTATAGACTATACTGTTAACCTTGTGATTCTAGGTGTTGTATATACTTACATTGCTCTAATTCCACTCTTCAATATTGTTGTATATGTATAGAAGCATGTAAAAATTGAGCATGCCTATCCTCCTTATTGCGGAGTGTCCTACAATAATTGCAAAATCATAACTTTTATAAAATAATATTTTGTTTTATAATAAACTAGTGTGAACACCGTGCAAAGCACGTCATATTTTTTTTCGCTACAGTAATCCCGGTTTTAATTGCTAGAACATTATTTGAAATTTTTAGATTGCTACAGTACCCCCGCTACAGTATTCTCGTGTGCTACAGTAACATATTTTCGAAAAATCCAGTGTTCGATTTCATATTTGCTACGGTAATGATTGATACAACAAATACTATTGTAGCATTTACTATAACATAAATAGTTAATCTTGAGTTCTAGAGGATTAGATTTTTTTAAATTATCCAGCAGCATAGCAAGGCACGACACTAGTTGTTATACTATATATAAAGGAAGGGTTAGATGAGTAATATGACAGAAATAAATTATAAACTAGTTAATAGATTACGGACAAGCCTTCTTGCGGAAGCCCGGCCCGTTTATTTGTCCAGCCCATGAAACTGGGACCTTACTCTCTATAAATTTACCCCTTTGCGAGCTTTAGGTCCTTTGTGAGCGCCGTTAGGGTTTAGGGTTTAAGACTTTCAAGGGTTAAAATTTTAGTAACAGAGAGCTCGCCGGAGATTCAGAGGTTTCTCGAGGTCTGATTCCTATCGCCTCTCCTAATTTCATATATTTATACTTAGTTTTCTGAGTCTCCCTCTAGGGTTGGGGTTTAGGTATTAAATGAAGAAAAATGTAAAATTTTAGCCTTTTTTCTTAGATCTTGACACGAGATAATGATGTCCCAGTAAGAAAGTTGAGATTTTTTATCAATTTGATTGTTTTGATTATTTGTAATATGTGGTTATGTTTTTTGGAATCGAATGAAGAAATTATTGTTAATAACGCAGCATCTCTGGATGCAATGAGCGTGTGTTTTCCACACGAGATTTCCGACGTTCCAATCGTTATTTAAAATAATAATAATAATCGAAGGCAAATGGTGCCTTGATTCAAACTTTTATGATAGTATTTATTTAGTTGTTTTATGCGTAATTTTTATTTAGATGAGCTATTTTCTTACAATACTTGTTAATTTTTAATGCGCATTGTGCTTCATATCCATGTTAAACAAAAGATCGTGTCTTATATAATAGTGGAGATATGTATTGGGTATAATATACCAGTACAAGTGAATTTTGTTCAAAACTTAACTTGACAAGGGTCTTTTGAGTTTTTCATATTCTGATAATGAAACTTCAGTTTCCAAACCCCTTTTTCTCTTAAATGGTATATGAGATGATTTTAGCACAATTTATGCACATTCCTTGGTGTACTACATCAATCATGTTCTGTATCTAATTTCGTAAGCGTTCTTTGCTCATTGCATTGATGTTGTGCCTAGTTGACTTTGGGGTTTGTGACCGCTGACTACTTTCTCACAAAATTTACCATATTAGTAGCTTTTTGTGATTCTTAATGTATTATTTGTAGACTCTTGTCTGATACTCTAGTTTTGTTTTGTCACACGTTATGCCTCAAAGAGTAGCCGTAAGTTACTAGAGGTGCTCTTAGCATCTCAACCCACATCTTATGGCTTAGTTATAGGGCAAATAGGAATTGGTTTTAACCATCTTAGGCCTTTTGAGGGGGCTAACATTGATTTGATTTCTCAAACATATGTAGCCCTCCAAGCTGCCGAAGACATTTGTTGTACCCCTAAAATACGCTTCACATTTAATTATATTTTTCTCATTTTTAGAGCATTTTTTTACTGGTTTTTAAAGCATAGAGATCTCTGTCTCTGAATAACCAGATGCTCAGCATTTAATCTGCATGTGGTTCAGACAAAAGTGTTGGCTTTGTTGATACACAACCATACTGAATCTTTTGTGGGAAAGGAACTATTCCTTGCAATTCCTTTCTTAGATTGATTCAGATATTCCAAATATATAATTATCTAATTTGTTTGCCAGAAAAATTATTGTTCTTGTATGATGCAATAATATATGAATAAATAAGCTTTTTGCTATGTATGAAAATGTCCAATATTTTTTGTATTCTTGCACTTCTCATTGAGACTGCATGCTCTTGGTCACCAAATTACAATGTTGAACCCTTTTAGCTTACTGATTTGAGCTCATCTAAATCTTTCTATTCATAAAATAGTATTTGATATTTAAGGATGTAAGTATTCACAAAACAAAATTTCATTGTTTTCTCCCCTTTTTCAATCTGCAAAACATTAATTTAGATTGTTTTCAAGGTTGTTAGTGCTGTGATGAGGCAATTTATGTGGACTAGAGTTTCTGATCTGGTATCTGAACCAGAATCTGAAGACTAACCCTTGGCTGTCTGAGCTTAACAACAGATAACTGATATTTTTCTCATTTTTAGAGCATTTTTTTTACTGATTTTTAAAGCATAGAGATCTCTTCCTCCGAATAACCAGATGCTCAGCATTTAACCTGCATGTGGTTCAGACAAAAGTGTTGGCTTTGTTGATACGCAACCATACTTAATCTTTTGAGGGAAAGGAACTATTCCTTGCAATTCCATTCTTAGATTGATTCAGATATTCCAAATATATAATTATCTAATTTGTTTGCCAGAAAAACTAGTTCTTGTATGATGCAATAATATATGAATAAATAAGCTTTTTGCTATGTATGAAAATGTTCAATTTTTTGTATTCTTGCACTTCTCAGTAAGACTGCATGCTCTTGGTCACCAAATTACAATGTTGAACCCTTTTAGCTTACTGATTTGAGCTCATCTAAATCTGTCTATACATAAAATAGTATTTGATATTTAAGGATGTAAGTATTCACAAAACAAAATTTCGTTGTTTTCTCCCCTATTTCAAACTGCAAAACATTAATTTAGATTGTTTTCAAGGTTGTTGGTGCTGTGATGAGGCAATTTATGTGGACTAGAGTTTCTGATCTGGTATCTGAACCAGAATCTGAAGACTAACCCTTGGCTGTCTGAGCTTAACAACAGATAACTGATATTTTTCTCATTTTTACTGGTTTTTAAAGCATAGAGATCTCTGTCTCTGAGTAACCAGATGCTCAGCATTTAATCTGCATGTGGTTCAGACAAAAGTGTTGGCTTTGTTGATACACAACCATACTGAATTTTTTGTGGGAAAGGAACTATTCCTTGCAATTCCTTTCTTAGATTGATTCAGATATTCCAAATATATAATTATCTAGTTTGTTTGCTAGAAAAACTATTGTTCTTGTATGATGCAATAATATATGAATAAATAAGTTTTTTGCTATATATGAAAATGTTCAATATTTCTGTATTCTTGCACTTTTCAGTAAGACTGCATGCTCTTGGTCACCAAATTACAATGTTGAACCCTTTTAGCTTACTAATTTGAGCTCATCTAAATCTTTCTATTGATAGAATAGTATTTGATATTTAAGGATGTAATTTTTCACAAAACAAAATTTCGTTGTTTTCTCCCCTTTTTCAATCTGCAAAACATTAATTTAGATTGTTTTCAAGGTTGTTGGTGCTGTGATGAGGCAGTATATGTGGACTAGAGATTCTGATCTGGTATCTGAACCAGAATCTGAAGACTAACCCTTGGCTGTCTGAGCTTAACAACAGATAACTGATATTTTTCTCATTTTTAGAGCATTTTACTGATTTTTAAAGCATAGAGATCTCTGTCTCCGAATAACCAGATGCTCAGCATTTAATCTGCATGTGGTTCAGACAAAAGTGTTGGCTTTGTTGATACACAACCATACTGAATCTTTTGAGGGAAAGAAACTATTACTTGCAATTCCTTTCTTAGATTGATTCAGATATTCTATATATTTATCTAGTTTGTTTACCAGAAAAACTATTGTTCTTGGATGATGCAATAATATATGAATAAATAAGTTTTTTGCTCTGTATGAAAATGTTCAATATTTTTGTATTCTTGCACTTCTCAGTAACACTGCATGCTCTTGGTCACCAAATTACAATGTTGAACCTTTTTAGCTTACTGATTTGAGCTCATCTAAATCTTTCTATTCATAAAATAGTATTTGATATTTAAGCATGTAAGTATTCACAAAACAAAATTTCGTTGTTTCTCCCCTTTTTCAATCTGCAAAACATTAATTTAGATTGTTTTCAAGGTTGTTGGTACTGTGATGAGGCAGTATATGTGGAACTAGAGTTTCTGATCTGGTATCTGAACCAGAATCTGAAGACTAACCCTTGGCTGTCTGAGCTTAACAGCAGATAACTGATATTTTTCTCATTTTTAGAGCATTTTTTTACTGATTTTTAAAGCATAGAGATCTCTGCCTTCGAATAACCAGATGCTCAGCATTTAACCTGCATGTGGTTCAGACAGGGGCACATACCAAAAGTGTTGGTTTTGTTGATACACAACCATACCGAATCTTTGAGGGAAAGGAACTATTCCTTGCAATTCCTTTCTTAGATTGATTCAGATATTCCAAATATATAATTATCTAATTTGTTTTGCCAGAAAAAACTATTGTTCTTGTACGATGTAGTAATATATGAATAATTAAGCTTTTTTGCTATCTATGTAATGTCCAATATTTTTGTATTCTTTTTGTATTCTAGCACTTCTCAGTAAGACTGCATGCTCTTGGCCACCAAATTACAATGTTGAACCTTTTTAGCTTACTGATTTCAGCTCATCTAAATCTTTCTATTCATAAAATAGTATTTGATATTTAAGGATGTAAGTATTCACAAAACAAAATTTCGTTGTTATCACATGTCACTCGTTCCAATATTGCTTGATTCTTCTTGAAGATATGCATTTTCATGTGTCAGACATAATTCACATAGGAGTACACCTGTATTCTCTGGTTAAATTACCCATGGTTTTCATCTATTTGTTTGGTGTGCACCTAGCTTGTTAACATGTAAAATGTTGCTTTTTTTTAATTTGATTAATTTTAAAATACATATCTTCAAGTTTAAAAAATATCTTGTAAGATTAATTTGATAAAAATATCTTGTTTGAAAATTAACTGAGATATTTTTATCAGCTCACTTGTAAGATTAATTTGAATTTTGTATACTATTTCAGGACTTTAATTTGCTTTTTTTCATTAGCTCATCCCATCAGTTCTATAAAAAAGTTTATTTGCATCCGAGCAGATGAACATTGTTGATTACTCAACTCCTTGAATTTTTGACTTAAATACTTAGTTGATTTTTGAGTACCAAACTCAGTTTTATAAAATGATTCATTAAGTAACAATTAGATTCTTATCTTTGTATTATCATTCTAATATTTGTTTAGTGAATACAAGACAAATGTATCATGTTTTTACGAGAAATTTCTTCTTAAAACAATGAAGATTTGATGACATTGATGAAGATATGTTAATGAGGATTACTTCTAATGCTACCTTCTCTGCGATGATTTGTGTGTTTGCTTGTTTAATGAAGATACTTAAAGTAGAAGGAAATCAATCTCTTATCATCAATGCATTGATACATCAAATTATAAGAAGAAAAATAGCAAGGTTAAAGAGGAGGATTCTCTCATGCGCGATTTCATTGAGTCCATGTCCTACTCAATTCAACATCCGCGCAGTTACATTGGAATGAGACTATGGGGAAGACTATTAGCACATGAGAATGAGTTTTTTGTGGACACATTGAATAAAGTGCTTGATTACTTGTATGAGTATAAAGGTGATACTAAGAAGTTGATCATCAAAACAAAAAATGCTCAAAAACTATTTACAGAGTAGATTATCATGGAGCAAGGGTTTTAGGAGGTCATAGTTTGTGTTTATGACTTTTGGAAACTTGATATTTCACTACTTTTAATAACTTTAAATATTTATTATTTTTATAAACTCATTGCATATTTGACTATTTAGTGATGTAATTTGAGTACTTGTGGATATGTTAGTGGTGTAACTTATGCATATTTCACTATTTATTTTTATAAACTCATTGCATATTTCACTATTTATAAACTCATTGCATATTTCACTATTTATAAACTCATTGCATCACTAAATAGTGAACTTATGCATATTTTAGTGGTGTAACTTATGCATATTTTTCACTACTTTTGCCAACATATGTTAGTGGTGTACATATGTTAGTGGTATAACTGATGCATATTTTCACTACTTTGCCAACATTATATTTCACTATTCTATGCAATCTCATATTTTACTACTTAGGGTTTGTGGAAGCCTATTACTATGCTGGTTGCTTGTCTGAGCTTCTATCTTGGTTACAGTTTGAGTTTTGAGTTTTTTGGTTTGTGGCAGCCTATTACTATTCTTGTTGCTTGTCTGAGCTTCAGTTTGAGTTTCAGTTTCGGTATAAGTTTGTGGGTTTATGGCATCCTATTACTATATTGATTGTTTCAGTTTTAGTTTATCATTGAGCTTGGTCACTTGTTTTTGAAGGATTTGCGGGTTTGTGGTAGGTTTGAGCTTGTGGGTTTGTGAGTTTGAGCTTGGTTGCTTGTCTGAGCCTTGAGCTTGTTTGTTAGCTTATTTTTGATGACTTGTGAGTTTGTGAGTTTGTGGCAGCTTATTATATGTTGGTTGTTTCAGTTTGAGCTTGTCATTGAGCTTGGTTGTTTGTTTTTGATGGATTTGCGGGTATGTGGCATGTTTGAGCTTGTGGGTTTGTGAGTTTGAGTTTGGTTGCTTATGTGAGTCTTGGTTATTTGAGTTTGAGCTTGTTTTTGAGCTTTGTGGGTTTGCTGCTAGTTTGAGATGCTTGCGGGTTTGCTGCTAGTTTGAGATGCTTGCGGGTTTGTTACAAACTATTTAAATGTTGCAAAATTTATTTGTGGGTGTTTATTCAAGTTTTATTTTTATCTAGTAATCTTGGATTTGAAATTCTAGAATGAAAAAGTGGGTTTTTTGAGCTTTTTAGATTTAGTTATGATGATTGGTCACATATTGATAATGCCAATTATAATGGGATTTCATTGTTTACAGGAGGCGTTCATTAGAGAAAATTCAGTCTAGATTGTTTTTGTAATTTTTAGATGAGGTAGTCCATTATTTGAATTTAATCTACAATTCAATTTCATTATATAGGTGTTGAAAAAATGATAATTTTCTGAGCCTTTATATTATCATTTATTTTTATATTTTTATATTTACATGGTTAGTTTATGACTGTTTATAATTGTTTACAGCCATTCCGTATAAGTTTGAATGGGTATGATTACCCCAATTAAAAACAATTGCATTTGTTCTTTTGTAGGAGGTAAGCTCACCGAATGTTCTTATATTTACCAATCACTTATTTTAGTAATTCTAAATTTTGTTTGCAATAATTATGGATTTTAAATTTTAAAATTTGTAATGCTACAAATTAAGTTTGAAAAAAAAATTACGAATTATTATATTACGTATCCCAAAATTATTGTATTACGTATTCTAGTTTGAAGTAACTTTTAACGTGTGTTTGCTGCTTAGACCAGTATTTTCTTCACCAAACAACAGAGTCGTACTTTATTAATTGACTGATTCAGATACACACAAATGTGTATATTTATATTTGAAAGTTAAAGCGTGCAAGTGTTTATAAAATTATTTTCTCCTGTTTTTCCCCGCTCTTTTTTTTTTCTATAGGGTAACATCTACTTAGGTTGTTTCTGATGTTGTTGAGGCTGTGATGATGCTATATGTGTTGTCTAGCGTTTCTGATCCGGTTTATCAACCGGAGTCTGAAGATTAACCCTTGACTGTCTGAGCATCAAATTCCTAGAGAATTGAAAGATTTAAAGGAAAGCTAATACGATGGCCTTATGGAACTTGCTAGATATCTCATCAATTTTGTTAATGAGGGTTTTCATGACAAGCATTATTATATGTCAAACTTAGCTCAAAGAGTTATAATTGCATGTTTTATCTTCAGTTAAAATTAAAATCTGCCGCTAATCTTATCTAGTTGTTTAGCACTTGCATGAACTTCTTCGCAACAATTAGTGAAGTGTGACAGTTCTTAAATTATTAATTCTGTATTTACATGATTATAAGAAAAATAATTTTAGCGGAGATGAATAAGCAAACTAGAAGTATGAGCTTACAATTTATATTGTGAAAACTCGTGTGTTAGCTAAACCTATGCCATGTTGCTTTGATGTTTTTTATTCCTTTTAGATTTTAGATTCTTCTTTTCAACTTACAGATTTTTAGGTAATATAACTTTGAGATTTTTGAATGCATTATTATCAAAATGTTAGGCATTAACCATTAGTAGTTTTATACTTTAACCATTAGTAGTTTCCCATTCTAATTATCATTTGTCTAATTGATACGCATAACCAAATGACCTGAATCATAGATTTTGTCTTTTTTGCAGCAAGAAGAGAAGAACGCTATGGTCACTGATAGGGCTGGGCATATTCAGTTCGGTTCGGTTTTATGCCAAATCCGCATCCAATCCGAATTTTTTGGATTCTCAAAACTCTCATCCAGATCTAGATTTTTTCCCCTTCATCCGAATATTCGGCCCAACCGAAATTCGGTTCGGTTCGGTTTGGTTTCGGTTTTGAATTTGCAAAGAGTTCTATCCAAAGATTTCTGTTGTGAATTTGCAAGCTGGGCATTGTCCTCATGATGAGGTTCCTGAGCTCGCCAACAAAGCTTTATTAGACTAGTTATCATCTTTAGAATAAAGTTTTGAGTTGATATAATTACGCAGAGAACATATGTTTTAAAGATGTTGTTCATATAATACAGCATGCTTATCTCTTGTAAGTATCATGTACTTAACACATTTTGTGATTGATTTGAATCTTATGTAATTCTCAAGATTTTTTCTGCGAAATTTTTTAACTAATGTTTAAGTTTATTTAATTACACGGGGGAGTGATGTTTTGTATGATATTGTTCATATAATGTAGCGTATGCATCTTTTGTAAGTGCATCATGTGCATAACAAATTTTCTGGATTGATTTAAATCTTTACTTAGTTCTCAAGGATATTTTTCTGGATATTGTTGTACTCGTTGCTTAAAACTGCTCCTTGCGCCGTTTGAATCTATTGGATGATAACAGGAAAAGTTTTGAGATATAAGTTTAGTCTCTAAACCGCCCAACAGAATTCGGGTCGGTTTTTTTTGGGTGGTTTAGGGGTTCAAACCGGATCCAAACCGATTTAATTCGGTTCGGGCGGTTTAGAGACTTCTTCTCATCCATTTAATTCGGTTCGGTTAACCGGTCCGTTTTTTTCGGGTGGTTTTTTCGGTTGAACCGGTTTTTTTTCGGTTTTTGCCCAACCCTAGTCACTGAGTTATTAGGAAAGATGGCAGACGTATGTCAGGATAAATGCATTGATGGTGTTCCTGGGAGCAGGTTTAGCTCAAAAGAGAGTTTATGTCTTACTAATTGCGCTCGAAGATACATTGACATGACCAATATCCTCATGAAAAATTTTCGTTCAATGGATTGAGCCCTATGATGTTTAGTGCACCTGTCAACTCAGCTTTGCATGATTCCTCTACTAGGAACAGTTACTCTTCGAGCTTATTCCTAGTATAAGAGCCTTGTGCTTCTACTTAGAGTTGATACCTACATATATTCCTTTTATCTTCAACATAAGTAAAGAAGTAAGAGGATATTTAGTTATTGATATTTCGTTTTGTAATTTCTATTCTGTTTAAAAATATTTTTTAAAAGTAAATTTCACGAGTTGTTGGCAAATACTTTTAGTTACTTACCAAATTCAATAACTAATAGTATTAGTGTGCAGCTCGTCTATAAGCATTGAAGTTCAGGGGAAAAAAGAAAAAAATCTGTACAACATAATAACATATATATAAAGAGGAATAGAGTGTTAAAACTTTTAATTGTCTTTTTTACCCCTCTCAAATTTGATAATTCTAATTTTACATTAATTACTTTATTTATTTTAAAGTCTCATTCATCGAGTTTTAAATAAAATTTAATTAAATTAATTATAAATTATCATAATAATAAGATTTAATTAGTTTCTTAGTCTCTTAAAGATTCTATAAATTCATATGTTATGGATCCAATCACTCTTTTATTTACCCTTTATATAACTTCTTTTTTATCTCTATACTATAAATTATGACAATTCATTCTCTTTAACTTATCATATCATTTACTAAGCTAAATTCCTATACCAACATAGTGGTTTATGAAATATGTTATATAGAAAGTTTATCAAATAGTTTATAGTGAATGTAGTTAATATGTATGTGCACATGCATACAATGGATAATATTTCTCGAATGGTTTGGAGATTTAAAGATTTATTTGTTATGATGTTGAAGTCTATGTCTCATGTTCAATTCGTAGTTTTTGATTTATATTTTTTTGTTAGATATTGGTGCCCTGAAGGCAATAATTGTATATTGTAATAGGACATATATGGATATAACATCCTTGTTCAAAATGATAGTATGTCATTTTTGTCGTATTTATCTAGTATTTTTTAAATACAGATAAAGTCCTTAGAATGACACTAGACTATCAGTATTTATCTGGTATATTGTACAAGAAGCTTGAGCCTAAGAAGAGCTTGAACCCAACAAATCCAACAAAATCAAGCCCTATATCTTGGAGAAGGAGGCTTGGCCGAATTTCTTGAGGGTTTTAAGGGATTTAAGGGGGATAAATATGAGAGATTTAGATTTCTAGTTGAGGAGGACGTATGGGTTTAGGAGAGTTTGAGTTTGAGAAAAGAAGAAAGAAGTTTGAAGAGAGAAAAAGCCCCAAACATTTGTCCCTAGCATTCAAAAAAATTCCCCCCAAAACTGACCCCCACCCTCTTTTTCTCTCCTCACATGTAGTGTTTCGCACCAAGGAGAGAGTTCCGGGTGTTTTTATACGGTGTATTTTCACCCGTTTTTGATTGTTTTCACCCATTTTGATGTATTTGAGGCCTGTATTTCCACTCTGATGAGTATATGAGTATAAACTTCTTCTTCTTGAACCTCCAACGAGTACGTGAGGTTAAACTGATTCCCAAAACTCCGAGAAGTATACGAGTATAAACTGATTCTCCGCTCTTCAACGCCTTAAGAGATTAAACTGTGTAGACTCCAGTCAACGCATGAGTGTAAACTGTGTTCACACAAGTCAACGCCGGTCAACACGTTGCAAATGAAAGTCAATGCCGGTAAACGCATTGCAAATGAAAGTTAATGCCAGCCAATGTGTTGCAAATGATTGTCAACGTCAGTCAACGTGTTGCAAATGAGAGTCAACACCGGTCAACGCATTGCAAAAAAAGACAACGCCCGTCAACGCGTTACAACGAAGGTCTATGGCGGTCAACGCGTCGATGACTTTTAGATTCCAGGTCAAAAGGATAACCCGGGGATTTCAATTGTGATTCAGATACGAATCCCTGACGAAGATGATCAGTTCAACGTCGATTCAACGACACGAGATAAATTCATAAATCCACACATCGATTTCAGTTCAAGATTTCAACAACGATCAGACGATAAACGCAATACCAAAAGAATTTTGGCTATTCGACAAAATACTAAATGGACTAAAAGCTGAGGAAGTCTAAGAATTGAAGGCTGGGCCCATCATATCCAAAGTATTCAAGCCTCCTCTATAAAAGAATGAGGCTGAAACACTTTGGAAGGGGTATTTGTAGGCGTTAAAAATTATCTATAGGTTATCGCACGTAGCTCGAGACAAAGAGAAGGTGGTAAATGTCATCATTCGAGTTAAGGAGAATTATCCAAGTCAAAGATGATCATCCGATGTCGTGAAGAAATGAACGAGCGCATGAAGCGAGTCGGCGAAGCGTACGAGTCAATGAAACACACGAAACGACGGATAAACGACCACGCGTTTTGCACATGTAGTGCGAAACACCCTTGGTGTTTCGCATCCATGTACGAAACACCAAGAGTGTTTCGCACATGGTACAAACACCTTTGGTGTTTCGCACATGGTGCGAAACACTAAGAGTGTTTCGCAATTGTCAGGACTCCCGGGATGTGTTTTGGTGGTTTCCGTTCTATTTTGACGGTTCCGAAACCACCCTAACTGCCTTGATGCTACCCTTAAACATGAGAGAGCTGTTAAAGCTGTTGCCAACCGAAGATAAGGTAAAATCTTGGGTTTTTATCTGAAAATAGGGCATCCGTAAGCCTATAAATACAACCATATGGCCCTTATGCATAGGTAATCAGGAATTTTGAGCTTAAGGCGAGTTGCTAACCCTGTGAGAGGAGGAGCACAATTTTTAGATCAGAGGGCGAGTTCTTGGTGAGTTCTTCGCATAAAGAAGAAGAGTACGAGAGATCTGCAACCCCTTCAGCCCTTCAGCCATTTTCTTGGGATCAGACTTTGTTTCGATCTTAAGAAGAGTATTGATCTTGCTTCGTCGAGGGATTTACTTCTGTTCTTGTGTTTTTTATGATATAAGAACATCGAGCCTTAATTTCGTTCAACTCGGATTTGATTTATTGGTGGTCCATGGACTAATGTGTCCCCAGCACATGCAAAGACCCCACGTAAGCAGCGGATGATAAACATCCTTTGCGTGTGTTTCTAGGAAGTTATAATTTTTTTTGTTTTATTTGTGTAAGAGAAGTCTTATAAAAAAGCTCACTCTTTTGAGCTTGTTTAAAAACGATGTTGTAATGAGTTCCGCAATGAAATCAACTTTCGACGCAAACAATATGAACATGTTAGGGTTTAGATAACTTAACTAGATATCATGATTGTGTTTCATGTAGATAACTAAACCCTAGTCACATTAAATAAGTTTTATTTTATGTGTCTTCATGCAAAATTAGCAATTTGTAGCATTGTAGATCAAAAACCAAAAACTAAAATATGTATTATGTTTGTGCTCGGGTCGATCGACCGAAGTGAAGGAGTCAATCGACCGATGCCTATTAATTTGCATGTGCATATTTGTGCACGTATTTCAGTCGACCGAAGAGTCATTTTCGGTCGACTGATCTGTGTTGCGCTATGTTTGTTGTTTGATTGATACATAAGTTAATTGTGAATATGAAGTTTGGGTCTACACATCGAGATACATGTTTGGATAATGAAGTATATATTTTGGTATTGCGTTCGCATGAGCGATAAAGGTGAGTAACATATATTCCTGAGATTTGTCATAAAAGATAGTGATACATATATTGCATTTCATGATAGTCAGATTCTTGAGCACGTTAGTTTGTATATCGCAATGAGACCGTGTTAGACTACGCTCAGGATGGTTAGTTGGTATGTTGCAATGAGACCGCAACAAACTATACTCCATTTTGCATCACTACTGAGTGGGATAGTTAGCACTCCGCAACGAGACCATGGGGGACTATACTTAGGGTATGGTAGTTGGTATACTACAACGAGACCGCGGTAGACTTCACCCCATGTCCATTATTATATTTCTAGATAGTGAACTATACAGATTTCATTCGTGATTCCCTATTAGTTACTCGAGAGTAGGGTATATACTGAGGTTGTCATACATAGCCTATTCTATGCGAGATGAATTTATCAGATAATATTCTTTATGACTATGCCAACTACCCGAGGGTAGTATGAGGATTTGATGTGACTTGTATTGTCGATGTCTGGACTTGCGTTTCTTTTATTTAGTATTTCATTGCTAGGACTCTGGAGTTGGGATATAGTGATTCACAATTTGAGACATGGTATATACATGATGGTTTCCTTGTTTGAATTATTTCGCTCGACTTACTAATTCTCATGTCGTGGGTTTTTAAATCTCAATCTCCTTTTAGCTCAGGATAGATGGTTTTATATTTATATGTACTAACTTATTTTCATATATATTCCTAATCCCCTT